TCCTGGATGATGTCCTGAAGAGTATTTTCCAGCTGGGATTCATTCTCTTCGTCCCCTTCTGGTACACCTATCAAACGTAGGTTAGGTCTTTTCACATAGTCCCACATTTCTTGGAGACTTTGTTCATTCCTTTTTGCGCTTTTTTCTCTGATCTTGGTTTCTCGTTTTATTTCATTGAGTTGGTCTTCGACTTCAGATATTCTTTCTTCTGCTTGGTCAATTCGGCTATTGAAACTTGCGTTTGCTTCGCGAAGTTCTCGTATTGTGTTTTTCAGCTCCTTTAATTCATTCATATTCCTCTCTAAGGTATCCATTCTTGTTATCATTTCCTCAAATCTTTTTTCAAATCTTTTTTCAAGGTTCTTAGTTTCTTTGCATTGATTTAATACATGATCTTTTAGCTCACAAAAGTTTCTCATTATCCATCTTCTGAAGTCTAATTCCGTCATTTCGTCACAGTCATTCTCCGTCCAGCTTTGTTCCCTTGCTGGTGAGGAGTTTTGGTCCTTTCTAGGAGGCGATGTGTTCTGGTTTTGGGTGTTTTCCTCCTTTTTGCGCTGGTTTCTTCCCATCTTTGTGGATTTGTCCGCTGGTCGTCTGTGTAGTTACTGACTTTTCGTTTGGGTCTCTGAGTGGACACCCAGAATGTTGATGATGAAGTATTTCTGTTGCTTGGTTTTCCTTCTACCAGTCTAGCCCCTTCGCTGTACGACTGTTGAGGTCTGCTGCAGACCCTGCTTCTCTGGGGTGCACCTCTAGTAGCCGTGGCACAGCGAGGGATGCTACCAGTTTCTTTTTCTGCTCTCTTTGTCCCAGGATGATGCCTGCCTAATGACAGTCTTTTGGATATAGAGGGGTCAGGGAGCTGCTTGAGGAGACAGTTTGTACTTTATAGGGGTTTAATTGCTGAGCTGTGCACTCTGTTGTTCATTCAGGGCTGTTAGGCTGCTATGTTTGATTCTGCTGCAACACAGCTCATTATCCCTTTTTTTTTTCTCAAATGCTCTGTGTTGAGGGGTTTGGGCTTTATTTTTGGATGTCCGATTAGGTGTCCTGCCCAGCTCGAAGGCAGACTAGCCACTGTTTGGCTGCCGAGGCTCCGCCCTGCTGTTGTGTGATTCGCGCTGTTCCTGCCGGCTCTGCTGTGGTCTCTGCCACGCCCTGCGGTGGAGTCTCTTCGTTGTAGCGTGTTGCCTCAGCAACGGCAGGCTGCGTCAGCAGTGGGCGTGTATCTCAGTAGGGACGGGTTGCCTCGGCAACAGCTGGCTGTCAGCAGTGGGCGTGTATCTCAGTTGGGGCGGGTTGCCTCGGCAACGGCTGGCTGCCTCAGCAGTGGGCGTTTATATCAGTTGGGGCAGGTTGCCTCCGTAGTGGTGGACGCCCCTCCCCCACAGAGCGTCTCGGACCGTCTGCCCGGGATAGTTTGAAATCGCGGTTTTGTTCGTCCCACTGGGTTTCCCAAACGATCTGTCCCTGCAATCCCCTGGGCTGGGCTACTGTGCAAGTCTCGTTCAGTCTCAAGTCCAGCCCTCTCAAGTCTCATGTTGCCGGTTCAACAAGGCACCCGGAAAGCGCGCCCTGTGGGGATTGCTGGGTAGGGCCGGCCGCCGCCGCCCCGGCTGCCGGCTTCGCCAGGCAGACCTACTGCCTGGCGTCCCGTGTCTTTTTATGCTTGGGAGTTTCCCCGTTCTGTGGGCAACAAAGATCAGTCTGGAAATGCAGCACTGACTCACCGTTTGCGAATTCAACGCGGGCTCCAATCCTGGGTTGTTCTCACAGCGCCATCTTGAGTGCAGTCTCCGAGTGTAATTTTTTTTTCTTGTCTTCCACATGTACTTTTTAAAAAAATCTCTTGTTCTCAACCTGGTAGGTATCCTTACATACTTTTCTCCGTATTAATAGTCATCTCCTACCCCCACCTCTGACCCACCCAGCGTTTTATTATTCATTTCTTACTCATTCAGCTTTGTGGAATTACCTACAAGTAAACTAGAATAGCTCCAATTCAGTCTCTTTAGAAGTAGATAATAGTCCCTGGTGTGGATAGACATTCATTAAATTGCCAATTTTTTGTTTTTGTTTTTGAATTATAAATCATCTCAAACTTTTTTATTCCTATAGCCTTATGTATTGGTACATATATTTCTTTGAGCTATATTTCAGAGATGGATTGTTGGTTTGATAGGTACATACATTTAATAAATTTCAACAGATTTTTTCCAGATAGCTTTCTAAAAAACTTCTAACAATTGACAGTTTTATAAGCAAAATTTAAGAGTACGTGTTCCCTCAATTCTTATCATGAAAAGGTATATTTACCTTTTAAAAAATTTCCAATTTGATGAGTGTAACTTGATAGCTTATTATCTTAGTCTGTATCTCCCTTAATATTAATGCATTTCAGCATCTTCTCCAAAGCTTGTTGGCTATTTGATTTGCTTTTTTGAAAATTGTTTAGTTGTATCCTTATCTATTTTTCTACTGGGTTGTCTTTTTCTTGATAATTTGCATAGGATCTTAATACATTATTGATATTAAAAATGATTTTCTTCAATATTTAGTCTGCATCAAAATTGTCTCTGAAGATCTTAACATTTCTCTGAAGATTGTAAAGTTAAATGAACAATTGAAACAGAAAATGGCACTTATTAATTGTGTATCAGCTATTGAAAGACTCAAATCAAGAAGCCTGCCTGGAAAATTGCCAGGAGAAAGTGTGTTGCTGGAGCTCTGGGCTACCATTGTCCCGCAGGGGCTAAGTGGATGGGAGCACAATGATAGATATGGGCCAGGGGTCAGAAGAGGGTCCAGCTCCAGAGGAAAGATAAAGGCTGAATCCTAAAGCCAGTGATCAGAGTTGAGAAGAGTTAAATAAGCAAGTTGGGGTAGTAACTGGGAATGAACATAGACCAGGGGACTGATTAATTAGAAGAGGGCTTGAGAGGGGAGAAGGTAGAAACAGACACACACTGGCAATGGAGCCCAGAAAAGATTCTGCCATTCAGGATGCTGCAGCTTTAGCATTCCTTAATTCAAATGTGTTCTTCCAAGACATACTTCTGCCCTCTTAAAGGCTTAGATGACAGCTTCATATAGCATAAGTATAATAACATTTCTATGATGCAGGGATGTTGCAAAGTATATGCAATTCCACATATTCTTCACAACATCCCTGCATGATAGAGATGGTATTATGTTTATCCCTATTTTTATAGAGAAGATAGTAACCAGGATTCACAGAGATGAGGTGACTCTAGAGAGGAACAAAATTGAGATTTGAACCTGGTTATGCCACAGTCGGACATTCATGTTCTTGTTAGTGCATACCTTTATCTGGAACGGTTCTCAAAGACAGACAGGTCTTCTTGGATCTTTTCTCTGGTATCACTTTCCTCTTGTCTGACTATAATGGACAGGGCAGGAAGGAAATTGTGGTTTAAATGTCTTTATGCCACATGGCTCCCTCAAGTTGCAAGTTAGCCTGAGTGGAAAAATCCCTATTAGGATTAGGGAGAGTTTAGGCATGAATATGGACCATTCTGGTCCATACTCTACCTACCTCTTCTTCTACCTTAACCTGTCTTTATTCTTTAGTATCTATCTCAATGTGGGTTACTTTTGGTTAATAAGCATTTTGAAGAACATTAATTCTCTAATGCTTCTGTTAAATTATTTTGAGGTCAGTTGATGCATTGAAAGGGCAATGAGAGGATTCCAGGACATGGATTCCAGACCTTGCTGAACTAACTATGCAGCATAATCTAACTGCTCTGGGCCTCAGTTTTCTTACCTGTTAAGGGGTTGAATTGGATGGTTTCTAGGATCTCCTTATTTTAAAGTTCTGACTCTGTTACTTAGTAAACAGATGTTTTATACCTGTAATATCTTCAGCAATTCACTCTTGCACACCTTATTTCATTTCTGCCTCTTTTTTTTTTTTTGAGATGGACTCTTGCTCTGTCACCCAGGCTGGAGTGCAGTGGCATGATCTTGGCTCACTGCAATCTCTGCCTCCCAGGTTCAAGTGATTCTCCTGCCTCAGCCTCCCAAGTAGCTGGGATTACAGGTGTGTGCCAATATGCCTGGCTAATTTTTGTGTGTGTGTTTTTTTTTAGGAGAGATGGGGTTTCACCATGTTGGCCAGGCTGGTCTCGAACTCCTGACCTCAGGTGATGATCCAACTGCCTAGGCCTCCCAAAGTGCTGGGATTACAGGCGGAAGCCATGCCTGGCCCATTTTCTGCTTTCTGAAAAAACATTCGTTGAGCACTGTTACATGCTAGAAATAATCAGGGAATTGGTAATAGAAACGTGCTGTAGAAGAGTGCATGCTCATTAATTAAAGTGTAATTGTCATAGAAGCATGCCAGTGCCCCATAGGAAAACAGGTGAGATGGGGGATGGGATGGAAGGTTTTGTGTGAAACACAATGTGTAAGTCAGGTCTTGACAAATGAGTAGTTAAGTATCGCTGAGAGATGGGCAATAACATCATACTCATGATGGAAGACATAAAGGTGAGAGGCATGCCCAAAGCTGCATGGTTGGTTTATGGCCAAACTGGGGTCATTGTCTATTACTTCCCACTGCCAGGCCTGAGCTTTTTCTTGGCATCACAGCCTCTATCTTTGGTATTGGAGGGTTCTTGTCTGCAGAGGCTTGACTTGAGAGAGAGGTGCAGAACAGTAAGTTTTGAATCTTCCATTAATGCAGCTATTGATTTGTGGGAGGTGCGGTCTTGCCTTCAACAGCCTCAGCCTGTCTGCTAAACTAAGAACAAGAATAAAATTATATATTATAGAGTGGGAAGAGGAGGAGGCAATGAAATGAGGTCTTAAAACATCTCTGGAAAGACTGTGTGCTAGGGGTGGGGAGCTTCTAACAGTGAACTGTGGAAATATTTACATGTATCATAAAGGTAGACATGGAAAATAATGATGAATTCCAGGTATGTTGTCCTTTAAAAGTTATTAATTCATACTTTTTTTTTTTGCATTTTTAGGTGATTAAAAATTCTGGCCATCTCCAAAGAGACAGAATAGCCGAGAATTTTGTTTGGGCTCAGTGGGATATGTCAGAACAGAGATTATATTACATTGACCTGAAGGTAAAAAAACTAGTTTGTGGCCACTCTTTTTTTTTTTTTTTCCCAAAAATAATATTTTTTTTAGAGATAGGGTCTTGCTCTGTTGCCGAGGCTAGAGTGCAGTGGTGTGATTATAGCTCACTGCGGCCTTGAATTCCTGGGCTCAAGTGATCCTCCTGCCTCAGGCTCCTAAAACATAGATTATAGGCATGAATCATAGTGCCTGGCACCAGCACTTTTTTATACGAACAATTTGATTTTGACATTATCATTACTGTAGTTCATTAATCACTACATTTTCATTGATGGAAATTGTCAATCAAGTTTTAAATATAATGAAAAGATTTTCATTATTGTTTGCTTCTTGACTGCTTCCTTTTTTTTTTTCTAGTGTTTTTTAATATATCATTCTGTTTACTGTTTTAGAAATCAAAGAGCATCTTAAAATGTATCCAGTTTTATGCTGATGAGAGCTACAACTTAATGGTAAGTTCAGAAAATGATCACACTACAGGAAATTTTGTGATACATTACTCTTTTGTTATCATAAACAGCACTTTAACATTCCTGATGGTTGTATTAGTCACTTGTATGAGCAAGTAAAACAGTTCTTGCCATTTCCAGGCTTCAACACCAGAAATGTCTGCTAGCTGAATGCTCTACATCAAAGAAACACATATGAGTGGGGATTAGTAGTAGAAGATACTAGGTTGGTGCAAAAGTAATTGCGATTTTAATCATTCAAAATAATGGGAAGAACTACAATTACTTTTGCAACAATCTAATAATTGGTGTGGTCTGTAAGTAATAGCTTTAAGGGGTTGCACTTTATTTGACCCAAAAGGACTTGTGAGGATGGTGGAATTGAGAATAAAGAGAAAAGTTAATGAGAACATATAGTTTAACCAAAATCTAGTATTACCCCTGAAAAAGCTATTTAGAATGTTAGCATTGTGTTGCATCAGTGAAAAAAAAACTTTTCGGTGGCTCAAGCCTGTAATCCCAGCACTTTGGGAGGCCGAGGCGGGTAGATCACGAGGTCAAGAGATCAAGACCATCCTGGTCAACATGGTGAAACCCCGTCTCTACTAAAAATAAAAAAAAATTAGCTGGGCACGGTGGCGCGTGCCTGTAATCCCAGCTACTCACAAGGCTGAGGCAGGGGAATTGCCTGAACCCAGGAGGCGGTGGTTGCGGTGAGCCGAGATCGCACCATTGCACTCCAGCCTAGGTAACAAGAGTGAAACTCCGTCTCCAAAAAAAAACTTTTAAAATAGGAAAATTAAAATTTTAAGAATTTGAATTTAAAAAAATAAAAAAAGGTAGCATTGTGGTGCAGAGTCATTAATATCTTTGCAATGGACAGTACATTATTTTGTTTGTTTGTTTGTTTGTTTGTTTGTTTTTGTTTCTTTTGAGATGGAGTCTCGCTCTGTTGCCCAGGCTGGAGTGCAGTTGCATGGTCTCTGCTCACTGCAACCTCCGCTTCCTAGGTTCAAGCAATTCCTCTGCCTCAGCCTCCTAGTAGCTGGGATTACAGGTGCCTGCTTCCACACCCAATTAATTTTTGTGTTTTAGGAGAGACAGTTTTACCATGTTAGCTAGGCTGGTCTCAAACTCCTGACCTCAAGCAGTCCACCCACTTTGACCTCCCAAAGTATGAGCCACAGTGCCTGGCCTATTCTTCTTGACCAGGACCGATGCTGCTGTCTAATACAGATTGTTATGCCATTGGAAGAATTGCACTTACCCCTCCAGCCCTTTCTGTTGGCTCATCTGCTCTTCTAAGGACACACAATCCTTCCTTCCTTACACTGTCATCTGTGTCTTGTAAAAGGTAGTTGCTTCCAATTGGCCTATTGTACAACCTGTTTTTGATATTCAAATATAAGACAAAGTTTGTCAAGCATTAGCCCTTTAAGAAATAAATATACATCAAGCTCATGATTGTATGTAACTTCAGAGTATTCTCAGTGGACTTTCTGTCCAATGGATTTGGAGTGTAACCTCTGAAGATAATAATGGTTAAATGTGCTTTTTATTATTAGGTAAACACAATATTTTTCTGGTTTACTTGGGTCTGCTCTGGTTTTCAGAACTGTCATCACTTACTGTCATTTTGGGTTCATTTTCTTCTGATTTTTTTTTTTTGACAGTTCGAAGTACCCTTGGACATATCATTAAGCAACTCAGGATTTAAGTAAGTTATTTCTAGGGTGTTACTAATTTTTATAGATACTGGTGGGCAAAATGATTATAGTTATTCCTACTTTATGCAGATAAGAGTTTGGTATTCTGTGTACATCTGTTTTTTGTATTCCCATTCTTCATAGCAAATATAAACAACTTTATCAAACAGGAACCCAGAATTTTATACATAAAGTCAATTGTATTGATTTTCTTAGCCGTTTATTTCTGTAGCGCATCTCCATTTATTTTGATGTATGGATATACTCTTCTCCCTATGATTAAATAGAAGGATTCATTGGGTCAGAGGAGCTACATTGAGAAGCAAACATCAAAGCACTTTTTGTTGCCATCAAAGAGGATGTCAGAGCTCAATCTACTTGTAGTTCAGCTGAGTTGGCTTTTTTCTGTTCTCCTTTTTGCACAAAAGACAAGGTTTTTTCCTCTTTCCACTCTATTTTACATGTAGCAAAAACCTGAGATGCTTCTGAAAAAATAAGCATAAGGCCATCAATATGTAGAAGAAATGAAAATCTTCCTGAATTAGAGTAATGATAATCCTGAGCTGTTCAGTATTTCACTAGCTTTACTTTATCATATATGAACGTTTAGTTGTGCTTATTTTGAAACTAGTATATGCATTACTCTATATCAGAAAATTTATAAAAATGTAAGATGAAAGTAATATTTTTTTATTATTACCAGGCTGATGCCACATATATAGCATGTATTTTGAAAAAACAGAATTTATTAACCAAAAGAAATTATCTACATAAATTTCTGGGGAATGTGTTTCTGCTTCTCTGGGTATATTATTTAGTGGTTACTCACATCCTTTATGAAGGGATGTATTTTTAAATGAACTTCTCATTCTTTATGTTCTTAGACTTGTCAACTTTGGATGTGATTATCAAGACCAAGAGAAATTATCCAAACACCTAAGTCTGTGTGTTTTTACCAACCATGCAGGTAAACTGTGGTTGTATTTGTCAGTTTATTCAATTGTCTTTGAGTTCTAGACAAAATTTACTTATTGTTTAGCTGTATGGAGTCTGAAAATATAATAGAGCTACATTTTTATATTGGTGATCGTGTGGATTGTCAAATAACAAATCATCTTCTTTATTAATTTTAAATATACACTGTATCAAGATAGCCATAGTTATTATTTTTTTTTTTTGAGACAAAGTCTGGTTCTGTTGGCAGGTTGGAGTGTGGTAGTGCAATCCTGGCTCACTGCAACCTCTGCCTCCCAGGTTCGAGCGATTCTCCTGCTTCAGCTTCCCAGGTAGTGGTATTACAGGTGACTGACACCACACCTAGCTAATTTTTGTATTTTTAGTAGAGACAAGGTTTCACCATGTTGGCCAGGATGGTCTGGATCTCCTGACCTCATGATCCACCCGCCTTGGCCTCCCAAAGTTCTGGGATTACAGGCACGAGCCACCACACCCAGCGGCCACAGTTAACCGCAGAGTTATTCTTCTAGTAGTTATTATTTGTATGATTTTAATAGAGGAGATGGATTTGTATTTAACCAGTCTACATTTTCTCACCTGCTCCATCTTTTAACAAATGGCAACCAGCAAAGGCAATACTTTCTGCGTCAGGATTCCTGATGTGTTTGGTTCTAAACTTATGTACCTAGCTTTAAGAGCCATGCTGCAGCCTACCAATGTAACAATCAGAGCTTGACATAAAGTTATTAATGTGAAATATTTTGTTCCTAAATTTTAGTTTTTATAGATAGAAAAATATAGAGGTAAAGAAGAATACCTGAAAATGAGAGATGAATATGATTACACTCAATAAATCTGGTGAAAAAAATGCTCATTAATCTTAGTCATCTAAATAATCAGCTCTATAACTACATATAATAGCCATTTTTAATATCTTAACTTTAGTGGACATTTACTAGAGTTAAGTAGCATTTGGACTAAAATCGTATTCCTTTGAAGCCAAATTATTACAGGATATTCACCCATTAGGCTAATGTTTATCCGGCACTTACTGTTTGCTAGGTGTTGGGGATGTGATGCGAAGTAAAACTGCCCTAATCTTTATTATCATAAAAGTTACTGCTTGGTGCAGATTTTATACATTACATAAGTGCACACATAATATTTCAATGGAATCACATTATGAATGAGCTAAATTATAGGAAGAAATGAAAACTTACAATGGAGGTTTAATAGAAGATACTAATATCTTCAACCATGTTCTAATTCAGCCAGTTCATCTTCGTTTCTGCCTCCCTCCAAGATACTCCATCCCATCCTGTTCTTAGTCCTGAAAATTGCCCCCTTTCCACTTCACTCCTACATAATCCATTCCTTTTTTGGTCCATCCAGGATTGTCCCCCCAGGTATCCCTCAGCTGTACTCATCCCTTCATATACTAGTCCTGGGGCATTCAAGGGAATGGTGTTTCAGTGGAGACTTGAAGGATGTATATGAGCTAAGACCATGTCACTGCAGTAAAGTGAGTGAGAGAGAGAGAAAGCTGGAGAGGTAGGCAGGGGCCAGGCTATGTAGGACCTTGTGGATCATGGGAGGATTTTAGACTTTATCCTAAGAGTGATGAGAAGTCATTGAAGGATATTTTTTGTTACTATATAATTTATTTGAGAATGTGCAAGCTCACTGAAAAATTCAAAAATACAATGAACATCCATGTACCTTTTACTCAAACAATCATCATTTATGGTATTTACTTTATCATTCTCACTTTATATAGGTATCATTTTCTTCTTTTTTGACAAAGTCATTCAAAATAGGTTGCAGACATCATAACACCTAACCACTAGGTAATTCAGCACATACCTCCTTTGACTAAGGACACTCTTCTACATAATCTCTGTTCCCTTATTACTGAAATAAATTAATCACATTAATCAATAAACTTTATTCATATTTTCAAAAATGTGTGTGTATATATAAATATATATGTATATAACTTGTAAAATCAGGATTCCATCAAGATTAATGCATTACATTTGGTCATTTAAATCTTCATAGTCTCTGTTAATGTACAGCAATTTTCATGTCTTCCCTGCCTTTCTTTTTTTTTTTTTTTTTGGGGGAGGAAGGCAGGAAGGGAGGGAAGGAGGATGGTAGGGAGGAAGGAAGGGATGAAGGAAGGAAGGAAGGGATGTAACATGCCGTTGGGTTTTGGCTGTGTCTTTTGATTGGGGGATTTAGTCGATTTAAATTTAGGGTTACTGCCATTTGATGTTAACTGGCTGTTTTATCCATTCGTTGATGTAAATTCTTCTTTATGTTGGTGCTCTTTACTTTTTGGCATATTTTTAGAAAGGCTAATACTGGTTGTTTCTTTCTGTGTGTAATGCTTCTTTCAGAAGCTCTTGTAAAGCAGGCCTGGTGGTAATAAAATCTCTGAGTTCTTGCTTGTTCATAAAAGATTTTATTTTTCTTCAGTTGTGAAGCTTAGTTTGGCTGGATATGAAATTCTGGGCTGAAGGTTCTGTTCTTTGAGGATGTTGAATTTCGGCCCCCACTCTCTTCTGGCTTGTAGAGTCTCTGCTGAGAGATCTGCTGTAAGTCTGATTGGTTTGCCTTTGTGGGTAACCTGACCTTTCTCTCTGGCTGCCCTTAGTATTTTCTCCTTCGTTTCAACCCTGGTGAATCTAACGATTATGTGCCTTGGGATTGCTCTTCTTGAGGAATATCTTTGTGGTGTTCTCTGTATTACCTGGGGTTGAATATTGACCTGCTTTGCTAGTTTAGGAAAATTTTCCTGAATAATATCCTGAAGGGTATTTTCCAGGTTGGATTCATTCTCTTAGTCACATTCAGGTACACCTATCAAACGTAAATTTGGTCTTTTCACAAGTCCCACATTTCTTGGAGACTTTGCTCATTCCTTGTTATCCTTTTTTCTCTAATCTTTTCTTCACGTTTTATTTCATTAAGTTGGACTTTGACCTCTGATATCCCTTCTTCTGCTTGAACAATTCGAGTGTTTAAACCTGTGCATACTTCTCGGAGTTCCTGTATTGTATTCTTCAGTTCCATTAATTCACTCATACTCCTTTCTAAGTTGTCTATTCTCAATAGGATTTCATCAAACCTTTTTTCAAAGTTCCTAGTTTCTTTACGTTGGGCTACAAGTTCTTTTAACTCACCGAAGTTTGTTATTATCCATTCCTTGAAGAGTACTTCTGTCATTGGGATGTGCTCGTTCTCCATCAAGCCTTGTTCCATTGTCGATGTGTAACTGTGATCATCTTTAGAGGGAGAGGCGTTCTGACTTCGCGTATTCTCAGCTTTTTTACGCTGGTTTCTTCCCATCATTGTAAATTTATCCTCCTGTCGTCTTTCAATTTACCAACTTTCAGATTAGGTCTCTTGAGTGGGCGTCCAGGTTGTTAGTTCCCAGGGCCAGAGCAGCGGCATTGTAACTGATGGTGCTTTTCTTCCCAGGATTCTCCTGTCTGGCTTCCTTCTTGTGTCCGTAGTAGGTGACTCTGCCTTCCCGGGGCTCCAAACCTCGGTCAGAAGGGGAACCAGACCCGTTTACTCTGTGCCAAGCACTGCCGCGCCAAGGTGCAGTCACAGCTGCTGCGCCGGGCTGTGGTGTTGTGCTGGGGGCCCATGTGGGTCCTCCAAACCTGTTTACTCTGCTCCAAGAGCTGCTGCGCCGGCCACAAGAGTTGCGCTGGTGACCCGTGTGTTTCCTCCGCTGGGGATCTTCTCTCTTTTCTTTTCATTGACATATTGAAGAGTGAAGGCCATTTATCTTAAGGAATGATCCACATTCTGGATTTATCTAATTGTTTACTTACATAAACATTTAACTTTTTCCTCTATACATTTCCTGTAAACTGGAAGCTACATGCAACTGAGTAACAGCATAGTTAGACAAAAGTTAAGTGTTTTTAGTGAGAATACTTTATAGGTGATGTTGTAAACTTCGTTTTTATCAGATCAGGAGGCCTATAATGTCAGGATGTCCTACTGTTAGTGATGCTAAGTCTGGTCATTTGGTTAAGTGGTAACCACTGTATGTCTTCCTTGTGAAGGCATATTTTAACCTGTGAATTAGTAATTTGTAGGACAGTGCTTTGTCATCATGTGACTATTCTATTCTCTAGCAGCTTTTCACCTGTCAGTTTGAAGATTCGCTGATACTCCTTCACTGAAGTGTCTGTGCAGGCAGTCATGTGATTGGATGTGTATTTTCAAATGATCACTGTGGCTGCTGTATGGAGGATGGATTGGAGGAGGCAAGAGAAAAAGTGGGAAGATGAACAGTTAAGATGAGGTCTAGTTCTGCATTTGAAATAAGGGTGAACTAGGATGGGCAGTACAGGTGGAGAGAACTAGATGGGTTTGAGATGCATTTTGGAGACAAAATTGAGATAATTTGCTATAAATTACATTGAAGAGGAGTGGTTCTCAGGTTTCTGACATCAGCAAATGAGTAAACAGTGAGTGGTGCCATTTACTGAGGTGTAGGGGTTTTGGTGGAGCTTAGGAAGATTGTGAGTTTTGTTTTGGACATTTTGACTAAAAGATCTGGAGCTTCGAAGAGGGTTCAGAAATGACAATGAATAAATGTGGAAGTTGTAAGGCTATGGCTGGCATTTGAAGCCATAGGAGGGAGTATTTGGTCAGGAGGGAAGACACTAATAAGATCTGGGAACATATAAAGGTTAGGCTGAACATCCAAAGGAAAAGGAAAAAAGAATATATATATATATATATATATATATATATATATATAGAGAGAGAGAGAGAGAGAGAGAGAGAGAGAGAGAGGGAAAGAGAAAGAACCAAAACAAGTATGATATAATAGTAGCTGAAGGCACAGGGTACTTTCACAAAGAATTGACTGAATAGGTAGTAAGAGGTATAGTCTGCTGTGTCTAGTAGCATGAAGATTACTGGGAGCTGTTTGTGTTGGAGAACTGAGGTGAAATCTTGACTATGCTGGGTTAAGTGGCATAT